AAGGGACACTAAAACACCTTCATGATTAAGTGTTTATTTAGAATTCAATTTTTTACAATAGCGGTAGTAACATTTTATCATTTCAGTAATCATAATGGAACAATTTTTAGTTACTCAATACAGTTCTTTATTTACTTAGCATGCTTAGTAGTTCACAGTTCGAGACTCACTGCAGCCTTTATCAGACTGTTATTTCTCAGAATGTGTGCAAGGAAACTCAAATATCTAAAGTAATTTTAGGGTCAACAAGTTATAACTTCATCATTGTACATTATCATGATTATCCTAATCAAATTTACTCAAATAGGTACCAGATATTAATGATAACACCTACAAGCAGATACTGTGTCATCCAGAATAAGTGTAAAAGCCTTAACATTTCCTGTTTTACTCACACTACCCGCACCTCAGATCTCCATATATTTTCCATATTCAAAATAAGGAGAAAATGCGGACGGGAGTATTTGGACTAATTTTCCGCATTCATTCCAGATTTCTGTAGATTCAAATTTCCAGATTTTCTCCGTATTCAAAATATGGAGAAAATGCGGATGGGAGTATTTGGACTCTTTTTCCGTATTCTCTCCAGATTTCCGCATTTCCATATATGCAAAATATAGAGGTATTTACTTGGTTGATAAAATGCGGAAATACAGAAATCTGGAGAAAATACGGAGTTAATCACATGGTTATAAAATGGCTTAAAACCGCTACATGAATAACATGATGCATACATATAATTTATAAATATTTACAAAACCATCAACAATGTGCAATTTTATATACAATTTATTATATCATTATGAGAAAAACATATAAATGAATGAAAAATTTACACATTATGGTCATGAGCAATGTATTGGATCTTGTATCTTTGACAAACAAACAGAGGAGCATGTAATTGGAAAAAGTTTGAACTCTTATTTAAGCCACAAATTCATCATGGAAAAAAAAAATAAGAATGTGGCAGTTTTTTTTATATTTATATTAATCAAACGGAAATCGATTCATTCTATTCAAGCAAAAGTGGTAGTGAAAAGTTCAACACTATTAGATACTGAGGAAAAATAACAATTGACATAGCATTGAATATTTTAAAAAAAAAGCAATTTTATAGACATTTTTTATCAATCTGGATCACATTTGCCATTTTCTACCTGCATCCCTGATTCATATTTCTCACAATTCAATTTATATCTCAGGTCTGCGCTTTACACCCATCTGTCCAGTAAAAATTTTCTTCAGACTTCTTTGTAATTTGTAAGGTCACTGCATGTTTAATTTCTTGCAGCAGCACTTGCGGTCGAATTGGCAAATCCTGTCAGATCAAAAAAAACAATACTTAAATTATAATGGTGCAATGTTTATAAAATTCAAATTAATTGCTTTTATTCCTTTTATAATCTTTTTATAAACACAAGTTTGGGTTCTTCAATTTTATATCAATTAATGTTTAAAATAAGGGCGAAACGATTACACGTGTAAACGGCGACGTTTCGATTATATGCTCTAAACGTTTACACGGAGGTCATTATCAATGTCTATCAGAAATAAAGTTTAACACAAACAAATTGTTTTATTTCATAATTTACAATAGAAACACCGTATTTGACTATTTGATAAGCAACAATCCATACCTGAAATATATTGAATAAAAATATTTAAAACCCGATACGGTCTAACATATTTAATTCCGATTTCCAAGTTGCGAATACTAGCGATGTTTTATGACACTTGAAATAAAAAACTTGATATATTTTGATATATTTTAAAAATAATACATTTTTTACAAGTCTTTGAAAGGTGTTTGGATACTGCCAGCAGGTCTTGTTTTACTTTTTTTCGAAATTAAAAGATCCATCTTTACAATTCTTTTTTTCTACGTCCGGTATATAGCCAAACAAACCAAGCAGTTGGGTGACGATGTAGAAAGTGAATGAGTTTAATGCGCCTCAAATTCTTACGTTTAAGTCATACTGACCAACAATGAGATTGTAATAACAACTCATACTTATATTAAAGTGAAAGAATTGATTATTAAAATTCGAGTTTCATGAGTAAGTAGCCATAAAAATCCAACATAAAATATCTCCCGTTTAAACGGTACCGTTTCGTTTACTGCTATCCGTTTAAACGTTTACAAAATTCAGTAAACGTTTCACCCTTAGTTTAAAATAATATTTATAATAATGTCAATCATAGTTGACTGTTTTTAATTAAACAAGCATTATAAAAAAAGGAAAAAAAAGAAAATATATACCTCATACATAACCCTCCATGGACCAGCTTTAAGCCTGTTAAAACCGCAGTTAGTTGAATAACCACTTATTTTTTTTTCAAAAATATCTCCTCCTTATGCACAGACGCTACCAAAAAAAAAATGTATGGTAAATCATTGCTAGAGATAACAGCCCATGGCTCCCCAAAATTAACACTTTAATTGTAGTTAACCATAATTAAATTCTATGAGCTGATTGAATGATTTTAATCATGGGCATATTGGCTGAACTGTACGTAGCCTGGTAGCTCACTCCTAGGCCTAGAGTATTTATTTTTAATAATCACTGACACACACGTTAAAAAAAATATGACTGACCTACCGCATATGAAATACGTGTATCTGCATCTTTTGGTTGATACAGCAATACGATCTCGGGCTGTCTGGTCAACAAACTTCCTCCTTTAGCATGTTTAGTCACAGAGCAGACGTTACAAGATGGAAGTTTTGGCGGTCTGTTGTTTAAATTAATTGATCACTGAGCCCGACTTTTTGAAACATTCTTCCGATCCCGATCAAATTGTACATAACATTCAGTAGAAACAGAGAACTGCTGTTAACTCCAAGACAGTTTTTATGTGCCCAATTTTTTTAGGGGCGCATATTGTTTTTATCCTGTCTGTCTGTTTAGCTGTTTGTCTGTCTGTTTGTCTGTCTGTTATCAACTTTAACGTTCGCCATATCTTTTGAACCGTGAGACTTAGGGACTTCATATTTGGCTTGGATACTCCACTACAAAAGCACTTTCAACTGATACAAGGTCAATGACCTTGTGACCTTGACTATGACCTATGTGCTAAAAATAGCTTTTTTCGAATTTTCGCCTAACTTTTGAACCACAGATGATAGAGACTTAATATTTGGTATGCAGACTCCACTAATTAAGTGCTTTCAAATGACACCAAGAACAACGATCGTGTGACCTTGACTGTGACCTATATGCTAAAAATAGCTTTTTCAAACTTTCACCATAACTTTTGAACCGTGAGAGATAGAGACTTCATATTTGGTATGCATACTCCACTAATTAGGCACTTTCAACTGACACCAAGGTCAATGACCTTGTGACCTTGACTGTGACCTATGTGCTAAAAATAGCTTTTTTCGAATTTTCGGCATTACTTTTGAACCATAGATGATAGAGATTTAATTTTTGGTATGCAAACTCCACTAATTAAATGCTTTCAAATGACACCAAGAACAATGATCGTGTGACCTTGACTGTGACCTATTTGCTAAGAATTGCTTTTTAGAACTTTGTTGCCGCCGGGCGCTACTCACAGTGTTTCACAAACACATCTTGTTCTTGATGAAAAAATTCTAAGTCCTGAGCTCCGTATTTTTTCCAGATGAAAAATATTCTAAGTTAAGAGTTCAACATTTTTCCAGATAAAAAATAGACTAAGTCCAATTCTCCGTATTATTTCCGTATATTTTCCGGACTATTTCCGTATATTTTCTGCTTTTCCGTATTGTTAATTCTCTCCGTATTTTTTTCCACATTTTTTCCATATTTAAATGAGGAAAAAATGCGGAATAATGCGGAAATCTGGAGATCTGAGGTGCGGGTAATCTCCCTCCTTCATGATCCAATTGTATCTGAAATGACCTATTATTGATAGTTAAATTGACCAATCAGAGGCTTTTACTTCTCCTGCAAGTTGTAGGCTTAATTTTTATGCCCCCGGATCGAAAGAACGGGGGTATATTGTTTTTGTCCTGTCTGTCTGTTTGTTTGTTTGTTTGTCCCACAACTTTAACCTAGCCCATAACTATTGAGTGGTTGGGGCTATGGCTTTCATAATTCATCAGTGTGTTACTTGTGA